TACACTCCTAGGTCTTCACTGCAGCAACCCAGAAAAGGAAGAGAGAAGATGAAAAGACAGCAAGAGAAGAGAGTGCACCTGCTGAAACCAGGAAGGAGCTAATGCTCTGATACCATGTAATCTGAAGAGCTATACTCGAAGTAGCAAAGAAGAGAAGAGAACCACAGAACTGAAGAGAATGTCGAACTGTTCTAGCCAGTCGACCAGTCTTTTATTTATAGATGGATGTAGTAAAAGATACAAGAAATTACTGGGATGCCACTGATTAGTGCTGGGACACCCAGATGACTTAAATCATTAAACAGGATTAGGCCCATTAACACAGGCCCAGTTACAAGATAAGTTAGACATAAGACTGGACTAATAAGAACTCTTATCAGCCAAACATCACTCTAACATTCTAACAATGCGGAGACGTTCCACTACCTAGAGGTGTGAGGCATAGTTCATAATGTAAGAGGCATAAGCCTCCTGAACACAAGGAGGTGTAAGCCTCCTTAAGAGGGGGATGAGGAGGAAGGAGGAAGAGGAAGGGGGGTCTTGGAAAGTGACTTCCAGAGGCGTACACTTCTAGCACGCCTCATGAAAAAAGTGTATGAGGCATACACGGTGTACACCTCAGAGGTGTCAACGCCTCTCTCATACACCTCAGGGTGTTTTGGAGGCGCCTTGCTTGGAGGTGTGCCTCCCACGCCTTTGAAAACATTGGTCACACATCCTATCACTCCTATCTTGTTTATCTTTCTATTAATAAATGTTTCAATATTGTTTGCCGAGAAAAAGAAAAAAATCTCCAAATTTAAAGTAACTGACCTTAAATTTTTAATAAGGGTAGGTGATTCCCTTAGGGCTGAGATTCTTGTGGTTCTGGAAGGAATACGAAGGGCAAAGGAATTGAATATAAGGAAACTCGTGGTTGAAGGTGACTCGCAGGTGGTAGTAGGATGGCTGCAAGAGGATAAGGCGGGGTTGTGGAACTTTAGCAATGAAAAGAAAAACTACAAGTGACTGACAAAGGATATGGAAGTGAAGTACAATTGGGTGAAGAGATCTGCTAACTCTTTTGCTGACGGGTTAGCTAAGCAAGGGGTGGCTTGGGATTCTTTATTTTGGACTATGTTGTAATTTCTCTTTATTGCTTTTATGGGGGCTCTTGCCCAACGCAGGGAGTTAAGAAATTTTATCTCCCCTTCCTTGTAATTAATTTTGTTTCTTAATGGAAAGTTGCTGTTATTGATAAAAAAAAATCAAAATCTCAGGAAATTATGACAACCATACTCAAGAGTCTACTTGCTGTAAAGAAAAAGCAGTATCTAAAAGACATATGACCTCTCAAAATCTACAGTTTTTAATTGTTTTTTTAACCAAAATCCTAGGGCATGCTACATAGAGATATTTACCCAAAACTGGATGCACAACTCACCTTTGCAGTTGCCATCCAAATGTTTTTGTAGGTTTCATCAACAACAGGATCATGGATTTGACTGATCTGAAATAATTAATAACAAGTATTACTGAAAAAGGAAAATGCATAATATTTTTAAGAACTTCAATAGCAATGGAAAGAAACCCACAGTGCAGTTAAGAAGAGAATAAACCCTTTCAGAGCAATATTCAGTGGCAGTGATGAATGCTATATAACTTCAGTTTGCAGGAGTTGTATTGGGAACTGATATGCCAGACTATATGTACTTTTTGTAATATGACATACTGGGAAGTCCAATTGCTGAGCAAGTTCTGCTCTTAGTTATTTTTTTTCTCTTTTTTCCTTTTCATTGGATACTCAAGGAGCTTGCACTTATCACACTCACTTTTTCTTTAATACAAAATTACAAATATACTCAATTGTTGCTAACCAAAAAGAAATGCAGAAATAAGTGCATTAGTGTAAAAAAATTACAGAAATACCAAATCGTTCATGAGTACAAACCTGTCCTGCATGAAGACCAAGATGTTCAGACCATAATGAGAGGCGAAGACTGAAGGCGAACTTTCCAGCTTTCCAGGGTTTTCCATCCATGGAAGTATCTAAAAATTCTTTATCTTCAATAAGTACACCAATCTGAAACAGTAGTATTCATGTTAGAGAAATTAGAAATGGAAATTTTCCAGTACATATATCAATTGCCTAACTTGGGCTGAAATAACAGGTTGTGAATCAAACTGAACATGTTCAACCTGTCATAGTCTCATAGATGTAGAGAGGGCAAATATAACCCAGGAAAAGCCCTAAGACACAAGTCAATGTACCTCAGAATCTCTTGATCCAATTAAACTTCTATCATTTATATTAGCTGATCCAATCAAGGCCACACAGTCATCGATTATCATCAGCTTGCTGTGCACATATACCTGCAGAAACAGTAAAAGAATTACTCACTGGAAAAAAAAAGTAGTAAATCTGATGCAAACAGATATGCATATAAATAGAAGAGGCACTTCCAATGGAAGGCACTTCACCTGACTGGTAGCCACAGGACCGCCATCAAAAAGTTTACCATAAGATCTTAGACCATAGAAAGAAATATAATCACATGTTTTTGGACCAAGGAGGTCATAAAGATAATGCAATATTGAATGTTGCCCTCTGCAAATGGTTCGAAATTGCCAATGCATTATAGCTCTTACAGATGCTGCACCGCTATCATCCACACCACCCTACCAAATTTCAACTTCAAGATAGAGTAAGAGACAAAAAGTATGTTTAATTTGATTATTAGGTGGCAAAGAATTAGTACCTGAAATCCAGGTAAGAGTGGTATGACAACAATAACCCTGAAACACTTTTGTTCTTTGTATGCTCGCATAATACGTCTATATAATGCTTCCAAAACACGATTACGTATTATCTCGTCTCCTGAAAGACCTGATATGAAGAACTGGTTCTGCAAACAAATTCCCAAGAATGTAGCAACTCATCATTAATATGAATTGTAAAATAGAGGAAAGATATTCAGTGTTCAGTCATTTATTGGTAAGGAACAACTTTCAACAATTTGATTATGAGATTGTAACCTAGAGCCACAGCTATTGAATAAAATATCTTGATTATAAATAAACAAATTACCATGCTTTATTGCTCGTCAATGTAAATGACCATCATAATACCCCAAAATATAAGCTTTGATTAGTTGATTTGAATAAAAAATAAACTTGTTAATATAAAAGTTCTCCCATGGTCAACTTTACATGACAGAATATGTGTAACTCATGGATGACTCGGCCATTTAATCCCTAACTGAAATAAGAAAGACTTTCAAAGAAGAGAAATTTGTTTAGGTATTTCTCCTTTTTTATCTGTCTTTAAGAAGCTCTTGTTAGTTGTTATATGCCAATAATTTATGTATGGTACAAGACTACAAGTCAAAACATTGATGATAGGTCTTATCTGAGCATGTCTCTCATCTTGCCAATTGGATGGCCTTTATTGAAGAATAGGAATTTAGCAAAAAAGAATTGGTTCTCTTTGAGCTGGAAATTACTAGTGCATCATCATCTAAACCCTCTAATAAATAGAAGTAAATCAGTCCTCTAAAACTGATATAAACTTGGTTAAAAATAGAGAGAAAAGTAGAAGAAAGGTAGAAGACAGCAGTACAAAGGAAGAAGATGGAGAAAAGAAGAGGAAGAAGAAGAGTTCGATAATCTCCTCTCTCCCCTCTCTAATCCTTTTGTTAATCTTCATTAACTAGGTTAATTACAAGTATGCCCTTAAGTGGGCGGCCAGATAAGCAAGAACTTAAAGTAAGCTTACAAAAAGAAGTAACAGGCCCACAAAGACAGGCCCATTAACAAAACAAATAGATACCACATTACAAAGAATAAAAGGATAGATACTAGGGCCCATTCGGCCCAGTCTCTCTACACTCCCCCTCAAGCTGAGCAAAGATGTCAATCATGCCCAGCTTGCTTATATAGTGTGTTAGCTTCCCTCTTGGAACTCCCTTGGTCAAAACATCAACCAACTGCTCTTTTGAAGCAATAAATGGCAAGCAAACTTCCTCTGAAGCAACTCTTTCCCGTATAAAATGCCTATCAACCTCAATGTGCTTAGTTCTGTCATGTTGAACAGGATTGTGAGCAATGTTGATAACTGCCTGGTTGTCACAATAGAGCATCATTGGCTTTTCATAGTCAACTCCCAATTCTTCTAAAAGTGATCGCAGCCACAACAATTTTGACACACCATGTGCCATTGCCCTGTACTCTGCTTCAGCAGAGGATCTAACAACTACTGACTATTTCTTACTCCTCCATGAGACAATGTTCCCTGCCAACAAACCACAATATCCCGAGGTGGATCTCCTATCATCAACACATCCAGCCCAATCAACACCAGTGTATGCTTTTCGCTTCATGTGTTCATGCTTGGCAAATAGAATACCTTTCACTGGAGTACCTTTCAAGTAACACAACTTTCTGCAACAACTAAATGTGTATCTCTGGGAGAATGCATAAACTGACTAATAACACTCACTGCATAGGAAATATCCAGCCGAGTCATGCAAAGATATAACAACTTCCCAAGCAGTCTCTGAAACACTCCCTTATCAAACAAAAGTTCACCATTAGTAGCAGAAAGTTTATGATTGGGATCTATAGGAGTGGAGGCCGGTTTAGCACCAAGTTTACCAGTCTCTGCAAGGAGGTCAAGGACATACTTGCACTGAGAAATGAAGATACCATCCTTAGATCTATCAACTTCAATTCCCAAGAAATACCTGAGATCTCCTAAATCCTTGACCTCAAATTCAGAGTTAAGAAACCTTTGAAGTTTATTGATGTTCAGTTTGGGCCGATGATAAGTTGTTTGGCCCAACTGTGTTTTACTTTTATTTTCTTTATTCAGTTAGGAAGTTATTGGGCCTTAGGCCCATTAATTTATGTTAAGTTGTGATTGTTCAGCTACTTCAAGTAGCTGACCTACTAAGGGTATTATTATATTTCTTCATTCTTTATTTATAAGTATATAAATCAAAGGGGGGGGGGGCAGATCAATTCAATTATGGCAACATCCCATTCTCTTCTACTTCTTCTTTTCTTTCTTTCTCTTGTTGAAACCGTTCAACTTCTTTTCTTTTCTTCACAAAGATAATATCAAAACAACTTTCTGCAATTTCTACTTGGTACCAGAGCAGTCCGAAAGCTACTTAAGCTGCTTCATCATGCAACCCTAGATCTGCCGACTGCATGGTGAGGTGAGAGGCTGATCGAAGACCTCAGGTAAGCCTAGTTTTTGGATTTTTTGGTGGATCCATATTGCCTTGTAGCTGGTCTAGGGTTTCCCACCAAATTCAGGAAGAACTGGAGAAATGGGGGAGAGTTTTGTTTTTGTAGGACTCTTCAATTTTGACCTAGGAAGTGGCACCCTAGTTTTTTAGGGTTTCTTGAAGTTTTTCTAAAGAGGGCGGTTCAAGTCCCATCTGTTTTGGAGGTCTTTGGAGGGAGCGACTGCTTCTTCTCTCACTTATCCTATTCCCGCAGAAAAGGAATCTTTTGTAGGAGGAGCTTCTAGGGTACTAGAAGGGTGTTTGTGGTGCCTAAAGGAGATTATTACATATTTTTCCATCTTAAAGTGATTTTCTAACCCTTTTTTGGGAATAATGGAGGGTCACAGAGCTGAAAACAAACCAGAGAGTGAGATGGAACAAGAAGAAGGAGGTGTTGAAGACCTTTTCAGGGCTGGGACCATCACTACAGTTAAGTTAGATGGTACAAACTATTTAGAATGGTCACAATCTGCCAAGATGGCCATTGGTGCTCGTGGGAAGTTGGGGTATATCACTGGTGAGGAAGTGAAACCCGAGACTAACTACTCCTAGTGGGTATAGGAGAATTATATGGAAATGACTTGGCTGTGCAATTCTATGCTGCCCCATATAAGTAAAAACTTTTTGTGGGCTAACATAGCTAGGGAAATTTGAGATGGGGTTGCAAAAACTTATTCATAGAGCGAAATGTTGCTAGGGCCTACCAGTTGAGAAATCAGGTTATTGCTACCAGACAGGGAGATAAACCTATTGCTGTTTATTTTTCGGCTCTTAAAACCCTATGGCAGGAGATTGACCATTTAGAGACGGTGGTTTGGAAAGTAGCAAGGATGCAACAACCTATCAGAAGCTCTTAGAGAAGAATAGAGTCTTTGAATTTCTTGTTGGTCTTAAACCAGAGTATGACATCACAAGGCAACATATCCTTTCCAAAGATAGTGTTACTCTTTCTCAGGCATATGCCTTTGTATCAGGAGAAGAGAATAGGAGGAATGTGATGATGAAGAATCCGGGTCTTGAGCAGTTGGCTATGGTTAGTATTGTGAAACCTAAACAGAGCGGAGACAAGGGTGGAAATGAAATCAGGAAAGAAGATAAGAAAGATCTGATCTGTGACTACTGTAAGAAGCCTAAACACACGAGAGATACCTGCTGGAAGCTTCACCCTCACCTTGTGCCGAATAGACTCAAAAACAAGAAGGGAAATGTGAACATGGCAGTAACTGGTGACTTGCCTGGACCTCCTACTACAACCACTTTGGAGTCTGTTGCAGCTACTGTAGTGAGGACCAAACTAGAGAGATATGGGCAGTTACTTAGTCAGCGAGATACAGTCAACCCTAATCCATTAGCAGTTACTTGGAGAAGTAAGAAACAATCTATTGTTGCTAGATCTTTAGTTGAGGCCGAGTACAGGGCTATGGCTCATGGGGAAGCTTGTCTACCATTCATTACATTTGAACAACAGTTATCTGACATTCTTACCAAGGGAATCTCCAAGGCCAAGCTACAACATGACACTGGCAAGCTGGGCATGATTGACATCTATGCTCAGCTTGAGGGGGAGTGTAGACAGGATGGGCCGAATGGCCCATAGGCTGTTCTTATTTCTTTATGTTTCTATTCTTTTTGTTAATGGGCCCTTATGTTTCTTGTTTAATTAAGTTAATCACCCAATTAAGGGCCTACTTGTAAATATAGAAAATTTGTAATTATTTTTAATGAAAAGATTAGTTAAGAGAGAGAAGTTCGAACAACTCTTCTCCTAAACCCTATTACAACTGACTTCTTCTTCTTCTTCCCTCTTTTTTGCTGATATCTACCTCACTTTCACACTTTTTAAATTAGTCCTCTCATTCTTTTGGACTGTTTTTCTTCTAAACAACTAAGGGCTTCTCCCCCTGTCTTAGATTGTTCACATCATTCTTCAGTTTGTAGGCCTTAGCAACATTCAACTTTTAGGAATAGGTCTCCATGACATTGTCCCACACTTCCTTTGTAGTCTCTGTCCACAGGTAGTGCCAGATAATATGTGGTAGGGTAGAATTTACTAATCAACCTACTACTGTGTAGTTCTCCTGCATCCACCACTCATAGGTGGGATCATCCTCCACAGGTTTCTTCTTGCTCCCAGTGATGTACCCTCATTTTCCTCCAAAAAATTAGTTCCATCCAGCTTTATAGTGGTTATTGCTCCTAACAGAGTCTCCACAAACCCTCCATGCCCAATCTCAGAATTTGTGGGATATTTTGTTTCTCCTCCAGTTTTCTTTATTCATTGAACGAAGGCCAACAAATATCAAATTAGGGCTCTACTAATCAAGAATACTAACCCAAAGCAAAAACTACTTTTTAACCACCCAAATCTAGGGTTTCAAAGGACCCGACAACACGAGAGGAGAGAAAGTGCAGCTTCTCCTACTAGAGGTTCCAAAACACTATCCAACCTGAATCGACCTCAAAGTAAATAAAAAAACTTCCCTTTAAGCCTCGAGCGCCACCTTCAAAGTGTCTGTAGAACCCTTAACTTAGTTTCTCTAGTTATTTAGGGTTTTAAGGAAAATCTCCAAGCACCTGCCTTGGGCTTCAACTAAGGGTAAATTCCTCTCCAAAAACCCTCCCAAACTGGGTTATTGTAGAGAAGATGACTGATCATCTTCCCAAATTTTTCATACTCAACTTTCATGGCCGCCAACTGTGCACAAGCAAACTCAACTTCAGTATCTGTACCAGTGGCTACATTTGCACTCCCTGTCTTTCTACTATCATGTTTCTTCTGGAATCGAACAGGAACAAGACCGGGATGTAATTTCCAGTACTTGTCTTTGGTGTGCTTTGGCTTCTTGCAATATTCACATACAACTTCCTTCTTTCCAGAGCCACTAGGAACCCCTACAACTCCTTTGGGTTTAACCCCCATATTTGCAAAGTGATCACTAGTGCCAACCCCTTGAACCTGTACCTGTCTTTTGTTTTCTTCACTGCTGACCAAAGCATATGCTTGTGACAATGAAACACTTTCCTTGGATAAAATATTTTGTTTTGTGATGTCATATTCAAGGTTTAGTCCAGTTAGGAACTCAGAAACCCTGTTTCTTTCAACTAATTTTCTGTAGGTTTTTGCATCATTGGAAGTGTCCCAAGTCACAGCCTCTATTAGATCAATTTCTTGCCACAGAGATTTCAAGGTTGAGAAGTATACCGCAAGGGATTTCTCCCCCTGTCTTAAATTCTTCACATCACTCAGGCTCTGGCTACATTTAGTTTCTGGGAGTAGGTTTCTGCAACACTATCCCAGATTTCCTTAGCTGAGTTCATCCATAGATAATGTTGACTAATCTGTGAGAACCAAGCTTGGTGGCAGTTCTTTCAAGAAGAAGAAGGCCTGATTCAGTCTTCAAGAGATAACCAGCAGACCTCCAAACACTGTGTACCCAACTGGAGTAGCTTCCTAGTTAGGGATTCCAGGTTCCCAACAATAGGTGCCCTAAAGAGAGCAAAACAGAATCCACAGTAATTAAAGGGGCCTTTTTACGAACACTATGTATGCAGCAGTGAACACCCACTGTCACCAAGTAAGAACCACTTCAAGAGTAGTCCGTATAGGTCCAAGAAGCAACTGAACTGAAGTAGGAACTCGCGCCACTGAGTCCAAAAAGGTTTCGGCCACTTGACAGTCCAACAAGATGAGAAACCAACCCAGAAATCTCTGAGTTAAATCAGGTTGACCACAGCTGAACAGCTGAACAGCTGAACAGATTTAGAGGGGTTTCGAACACTCTAACAGTCCCCCCAAATCAGAAATATAACCCAGAAATAACTGAAGCAACTTACAGTTTTATCAATCTCTGATTCGAGCTCCAAATCAGGTCGAACAATCCTTCTCTTTGATTCTTCCTGGTCACCGAACTATTCTCCAAGCGATTAGAGTCTTGGGCACCCTCCAATGACCTCCAAGAATCAGGCGAATGAGTCTAAACTTCCAGCCCTAGAACACCCTCATGCAGTCGGCTGGACTATACCCACATAAGAGCCACGCCAAGCTCAAACCTGGCTCTGATACCAAGTTGAAAAACAGCCCTTCGAAGTATGGGACTGTGTAAGATTAGATGAAAAACCAGAAAAGGCAAACAGCTGAAAAGATTGGTGAAGATGGAGAGAGAGAGCTGGCAGCAAGGAGGGTTAGAGGATGAGAGGTTCGAACTAATCTCCCCCTCTAACACTCTGATACAATTTTATTAAGTTAATTCTTGAATAATTACAAGAGAGGCCCTTAGTTGGGCAAGAAATTACAAAAACACAGCATAGAAGAGGATGGGCCCAGAATAAGGCCCATTACAGAAAAGAACATAAATATAACATAGAATAACAGCCTATGGGCCATTCGGCCCATCTTCTCTACAGTTATATAAGCTGCTAATTAATCAGCCGATTAGTTCTCCATACACACTTTGAATCCTGCTCTGATACCAAGTTGCAAAACACACCTGCAGTAAATCTGAAAATAGAATAAAGGAAGAAAGAAAAGGAGAAGAAGAATTTCAGTAGAAGCTTTAGAAAGAAGAGAAGAGAATGGAAGAAAAGAGAAGAAAAAGAGAGCTGTTTGATCTTCTCTCTCTGTCTCTCTAATTTGAATTTATATGTGCTGAAATAAAATGTTTAAAGTTACAAGAGTGCCCTTAGTTGTTTCAACAGACTTGAAACATAAAAAGATATAAGTATTAGGCCCATAAAGAAGGCCCATTACAGCAGATATAACAGCATAAATAAAGCTACTTAAACAAAGAAAAACTAAGGACCATTCGCCCCAATCTCCCTACACATTTTTGGGCGTGTAGATGGACGATGGGTCATGCCTCATATTGGTTAAGTGCTCAATTTATCCATTTATCTCTTTATTCAGGTTTCTACTACATTATATTTGAATTGGATATTCAATAAAGTTATCGGATCAAGTTCGAATCTTAAACTCATAGATTTTATGGATTCTTAATTTTATCCAAATTTTTCGTATTTCTCATTGAATCGAATTTGGATATACCCCTATTCAGATTCAATTCGATCTATTTGCAGCCATAAGGGAGGATTGAGAGAATTATGCAGTGGATCAGCATTCTGAAGGATTTCTCTGGCTTTAAGCAGAATTGTTTTAGCAATCAATGGGATGATGTTATTCTTAACTCTTCTTTTTGTAGTGTAATGATCAGGTATACCTGATTTTTCTTATGTTTGCTTCTTTGGATACTTGTACTTCATCATGAATTATTAGGGAACCTCTCCCCTTCTATTAATACAATTACCATATTATCAAAAATAGTATATCATTATCATATTTATTCAAAGAGGTATAACTGTTAAAAGACATTTTCAGAGGTTCCAAAATTGATAATACCAAACAGATTCACTATACTCAAACTCTAAAAAGCAGAAAAGTTGTTTCTGACAGTTCAAATTTTAGAGTTGTTAGCAGAGAACCTTTTTGCTATTTAGAGATCAAAGTTCCAGTTTACAAAAAACACCTTAACTACCTAGCAACTGCTGAGTTTTTTTTCTTTTAATTTAAATATTTAGGATTTATACGGTTAGAGAGGCCTATGAGATAAACTACAAAGTAAAAGGATCTATTGATTTTTTTTTTTTTTTTGTATGGGATTTCTGATGCCAAGGTATTCAGAACTCTTTTCAGTAAGAAAGTAGTTGGGTTTTTTTCCCTTTTGATTGGTAAGATAATTGAATTTTCCCTACCAAAATTTAAAAGAGAAGACATTTCAGAAATTTGGAACCTGGGGATTTCCAGACCATAAAGAATACCATGCCATAAGTTGAATAGTCTAATTGTCCTGGCCATGCTGGCTCACTTAACATTGGTTGTGGGTGGGATGGTAACAATGTCAGGCAAGGGCTTCTCTTTTTTTACTTATCAAAAGAAGATCAACTTATGGTGGGTGGTAGAAACAGAGTTTGATAAACATTATATTTAAGAACAAGGTCATTGACTCAATGGTTAAGTGTTCTTCAAGTGATGGTTTTCTGTACCGATGGAATTTCATGATGTAAATCTGAATAAGCTTTTATCCATTGGCATTTCAAGTTTATGGATTTTTTTTATACAACCAGTTAAAGTTGCAACATGTTGGTGTATCGTGTATTCTTCTCTGGTTCAGGGATTTTTCCCTATATTTAATTTGGGTTTTCTTAACAGAAAAAATGTTTTCCTCAAAAGCAATGCCACTGCAACAATTGAACCTGCATCTCCAATTTCAACAAATTTACATGGATGAGTTATCAAGTTATGCAGTTGCATTCTACAACTGAAGAGCCTATAAAATATAAACTGCTTCTTTTGCTTCTTACTAAGAATGCTTTTAGAATATCACCAGAATGTATTGGAAATTTAAACAAGATCTGCTTTTATTATGAATCATTTGATCTTATAATAAAAGAATGTTTTTATTAAAGATTATTAATGTATAAAATATGTAAGGAAATATCATTTTTTCAAATATTCATTACCTCAATGTAGACAAAATATTCTGCTTTCTCGATAAGAGAGCAATAAGCATTGTGAATACTCTCTTCAGTTTGACTTGTTCCAGCAGACCATGGGCCAACACTTCTAATGATCTACAGAAGAGGTCATTAAAAATGGTGATTGATATAGATAGCATCTCACAGGAGTGAACTAGAAAAATAAGAACAGTTGACAAAGAAGATGTATTCAGCAGAAACAAAAAAATTACATGTAGCATACCTGACAGCGGCATGGGATTCGAGGACCAACCTGTCCAGCTTCTTCAGCAGAAACAACCTGATCACCCCGTTCTTGTGTTTCCCACCATTCATTATTCAAACTTTGCATTTCAGACTGTGCAGCTGCATCCAAAGACATTGTTGCCTGAAGGTCCACAGAATCAAGATCATCAACGAAACCTTTCAACTGCATATCTGTAGCTGAAGGTTCAACTTTAGATTTCCAGAAAGAGAATGAAAGACCTCGACTGACCGTGCTTTGTTGATTGGAGTGACTTTGAGTAGTGTCTACGGCATTTAATGTTGGAATTCCATTAGTAGTATCTAGTTCATCAGCCTCTTGAGGCAACAGTAACGGGATATCTTGATATGATGATCGGGAGGAAAAAGATTCCTGTCTCTTATGTTTGTCTTCAGCTTTCTTACTCTCTGTCTCTATTTCTTCATCTCTACTTCCCATATAATGTGGAATAACCATGTGGTGCTGAGGCATGAGTAGTGGAATTGCTCGCTCATTTGGAGCTTTACTTCTCTGGAATATTGCACAATTGTGATTACTGATTACAATACCAAAGGAAATTAAACCTTCAACAAGTAAATTGCAACAAAAGTAACAGACAGTCAACCTTTGCAAAGTTCCAGCGCTGGACAAAGTGCCTTGCTATATCACGGCAAGGTGGTCCCCAAATAGCACAGTGAACATCATGCCATGGCATGCGAGGATATTTTCCACGATCGAGTTCATCTTTCATTGTATCTATCCAAGAATTTGGCTCAGATTCCCTAACAGAACAAATCTAAAAATTACAAATCTTGAATAAATGAAGAGTTGGCCCAGCATAGTTGAAGCATTGACTTGTCAACACCTAGGTGTTTACCACCTCCAGCACCTAGTCACTAGAGAATCAAGAGGAAAACAATTTTCTACTTTCTTTCATTAGTTGTGTTGACATAATGTGTATTTGAGCAGGTTTCTCAACCAAGTTTGGTCATCTTATTTATCTCCCCCTCCTCTTCTATGCTCTTCTACATTCTCATATATAAAGTGCCGTCCTATATCACAGACAAGGTGGTCCCAGAGAGCATAGTGAACATCATGCCATGGCAGGCAAGTATATATATATTTTTTTGATCAGTGGGCAGGCAAATATATTTTCCACGATCAAGTTCATCTTTCATTGTATCTTCCCAAGAATTTGACTCAGATTCCCTAACAGAACAAAGGTGAAAATTACAAATCTTGAACAAATGTTGAATTGGCCAAGCATAGTTGAAGCATTGACTTGTCAACACTAAGGTGTCTACCATCTCCTGTAACCTAGTCACTAGGCAATTGGGAGGAAAGTAATTTTCTATTTTCATTCATTAATTCCATTGAGATACGTGTATTTGAGCAGGTTACTCGACCAGGGGTATTCACGCCATTTTATGCAACATCATGAAATTATGTTTAGTGAAGAGTGGTTTGCATTTTTCTTTTCTTCACTCTGATTGAAGTTCATAGAGACCTATGATAAGCAGCCTGTATGGAGAATTGAGAAGGTTAATTAATTTTCCATGCTAAATTGCCCATTTTATAGATATTTTTGGAGATTTTATTCAGATTTTTTGGTGCCTAGGAAAAAAAATCCTAGATATCTTCCAAGAATCAGAAAAACCAACGAATGATCTTTTAAATATCTGAATCCAGAGAATCAACTTATGTTGAATTGTGAGGGGCTTTGAACAAGCGCCCCTATTTGTCTTCTTCTATTTTGGTGTGATCTAGTCCAGATTACTTTAACTGTTGATCTTGATCAAGATCTCCTCTACTATTTGTTGGGTGGCGGTAAATTGTTTATTGAAGTTATTTGAAACCAAAGGAGCCTTCTGGTGGTTCCAAGCAAAATTTTGGTCCCAACATCATCTGAAGTAGAAGTGTTCAGGAGAGTCTGAATGAAGTAACTATTACGTAAAAAATAAAAACAGAAAAACAGAAAAAGAAAAGCCATTACCCAATGTTGGTCCCAGCTATCTAGGGTCTTGGGAGGGGTGCACTGGATAGAGACTCTAAACATTCTTTGTGGGTGCAAGAGAATCTTATGGTCATTTCATGGTTGGTAAGTTTCATGTAAAGATGCAACCACATATCAGTATGGATTATTTATGGATGAACAATACAAAAGTAATCTGAAATAATGTTTCTAAGATTTCCTTCCAAGTGCTGGATGTAGCACATGCCTAACAGCTATAAACTGATCTTAAACAAGAGTATTCAAATCTGATAAAACTAGGATAAAGAGAAAGAAAACAAATCCAAATCTACTGTAGAAAACTCAGACTGAAAGAGAAGTAGAGAGAGATATGTGAAGAACTAGGGCTGAAAGCAGTAAAGATCGAGAGTCAGTTCATCTCTCTAACTGCTACCAACTTTTATTAAGTTGATAAAAAATAATGAATGACAACTTTACCCCTCAGTAAGAAGGGACAAGAACAACATGACCAAATGTAAAGTCCAACTATACCCATGCCTACCAGAAACAGAAAATAAGATAAATAAAGAAAACACTTCAACAAGGAGCATAATAGGAATTTGGCAAAAATTTCTTTTTAATCATCTTGACACTGAAATAGAGAAGTGCTAATGATGTTGCAACACATAAGTAGTTGGTGGAGCATAATAGGGAGTTCAAATTCTTGGTTGGATTGAATGACATTACTCACAAAAACATTTTCACTCATGATACAATTAAGCTATTCCACACTTATTCCTTGGTGCACAGTAAGGATCATAGCAGATCTGTGATGCAACACTCTGATTGTTGATCATTCTGCGCTTATTAGAGTCAAATCAAACACAAAACCTACTGATAAAAGGGAGTATCATGGGTGAAAATGAGGTTGTTTGTTAGCGGACTAAGCATACTTACAAGACATACTCGTTATATAATCGTCATTTAAAACTTGCAAGATTTAGACATGACAGAAAGAAGAAAAATGATACTGTGGTGAATGCACCCATTGAAGTGCTTACCATGTCTATTATCGGGCCTCTTATTGCCTTTGCCCACCCAGGTACTCATGGTATGTTATTGGTATGGATAATCACGCTTCTGTCTCAGGTAATTTTAATTGTATTCCTTGGACAATTAATGCTCATGTACTAGATTGTATGACAGTTTTTTTCCTTCTTTGTTCTAATCATATCAGTTCTCTTCTAGTAAGGATAAGGTATCAATTGCTAATGGGTCCGTTACCCCTATATTTGGTAAAGGGAATGTTAGAGTGATTGATAAATTAAACTTATTGTTTGTCTTGCAATATTCCAAACCTAAATACCAATATGTTGTCAATAAGTAGGATCACCAAGAGTTTAAACTGTTGTGTGACTTTATTTCTTCATTGTTGTGTTCTTTAGGATCTACTTTACATGGGAATGATTGGGAGTGGTGGTGAGGGAAACGAGATATATCTTTCGGATGTCTAACCTGTCATTGGATACCATTAGAGTAGCAGTTTGAGTAGTAGTGTTGTCTTCTGAATCTATGGATTGGATAACGCTTTGGCATATTTGACTTGGTCAGTTATTTTTCTTTTTTGAAGGGGCCATTACTTGGTGTAATGGTAAAATCTCAGGCTGGCAAGTGTTAAATCTGTTAGTTTTTTCTGTTCTTTAGTGCTGCAGGGGTACATCTGTAATTTTCTCTCTTTTATTATTGTTTTGGGTCGCCCTAATATAAATACAAAAGCTGGCACCGCCAGCCTAAGTTTCTGACTCCAAATTCTTTCTCCTCTCTTCTCTCTTCTCTGACTTTCTGACATGTTTTCACCAAGAAAACATGGTATCAGAGCAACTGTTCTGGGATTAGAAGTAGTTCGTTCAAATTTCCCTCTCAGTTTTCTCAGTTTTCTTTCTCTCTTGTGGATCAGACCTATCAAGAGGTGCATTGGACTGATCTGAAGGGAGTTTCTGTGTAGTTCTTCCCTTCCCTCTTGGTTGTGTGCCAAGAAATCACCAAAGGGAGGGAAGTTAAATGCTGTGAAGGTGGTTCTCTCAATTTTCTGTGGATTGTGTGATCCTTTTGTACCCAGGTAAGTGGGTTATGGAGGTCTGAATGACCTGTGGTTGCTGTGAACCTCTTGTTTCTCAGTTTTGTGGATCGTGTGATCCTTTTTTGTGCCCAAATAACTGGGGTTGTGTAGGTCTAAATGACCTGTGGTTGTGTGACAGCAGTTCTCTATCCTATTTTTTGGGGATTACAGTAGTTGTGTGGCCAAAAAGCTGATGAAGGGGTACTTATAAGGTCTATTTAGATCTGAAATTAATCATGTTTCACCTCTGAAATTGATTCAGCAGTGTGGTAGTGCGTGTTCTTTGTGGTGCACCGAAGGGAATGGTTATATAGTGCTATTTGTGTGAGAACAAGTATCACTATGACTTTTTTTTTGACGGAACTGTGAAATCAGACCTTCATATCATGCCTTCTGAGGATTCTAGTATATCTGGTGTGTCCTCCAGTCAAGGTGGAGTGAGTGAAGGATTTGGCATGAGTTTCCCTATGGCTGTGATACCGTTCGATGGTCTCAATTACATAGAATGATCAAGGGGAATTAAACTTTACATGATTGCCAGGGGAAAGTGGCTTATATTAATGGTAAAATCAAATAACCGCAGTCGGGGGGGTACAGAACATGATAGGTGGGACCAGGAAAACAGCATGGCGATGTCAGGGCTATTACTGTCTATGCTGCCTCAAGTAAGGAAGACCTTCATGTGGGCAGAAACAACTTATGAAATTTGGGAGCAAGCCAAATCTACCTATTTAGAGCAACGACATTATGCCAAAATCTATTAGTTGCAAGCTGCTTCCTCAACTTGTAAGCAGGGGGAGAGGAGTCTTTCAGCATAATATTCTGATTTGACCTCGATTTGGAAAGAGCTGGACCACTATTAGAACATAGAATGGAAGTGTGATGTAGATGCTAAGGCATACAAGTCTCTGGTTTCCTAGCAATGAGTTTTTGCCTTCCTCTTGGGGCTGAACTCTGTATATGAGTCTATTAGGGTTCGGATATTGGGAAGTAAAGATCTGTCATTAGTACAAGTGTATGCCCTAGTATAGTCTGAAGAGAGTAGGCGGAATTCTTTTAACAAGGGTGACTTGGTAGCTAAAGGGAGTGTGGTTGCAGGAGGTGGTAAATTCTCTTAGGAGTCTCAACCATCTACCACTACCTTGAGCCAGGACCACCCCTCCGTGATTGATCCCAGGGAAGATATCATTCATTCTTTTCCTGACCATTTGGAGCTATATGGTAGGGCAATCTGCTAGATGGATTCTGCTCCTCTTCCCTTGACTTCCTTTGCGCCTACATCAGGTAATGGTAATTCCGCCCCAACTTTCCTTGTGTCCTCTCATCCCTTAGATTCCCCTTGGATAATAGATTTTGGAGCCTCGAACAGGTAAGTCAAATTGTTTTCAATTTGACTAGCTGATGGCTCTTTTTCCACCATAGTTGGTCAAGGAACCATATCCCTTCCTTTTGGACTTACCCTTTCTAATGTGTTACATGTTCCAAAACTGCCTATAAACTTGTTCTCTGTAAGTAGTATTACAAACTCGTTAAACTGCTTAGTAACTGAGAAAGCTGTCCAGTCGAACTGAGAGCAGAGAAAGAAAAGAGAGAAGGGAGAGAAGGAGAAGAGAAAAGTGTCGAATTGAGAAGACAGAGTTTAACCTAGTTGACCATCTATTTAAATTTAACAAATCAGTATACAAATATAGAAATGCCCCTGCATATGTATG